ATAGTTTGCTTGCTATTTACCTCACTTGAATATGCCCAGGTTTGCTTTGGAGGATAATATTGTGCATCATTGGTCCATTTTTGGTAAATCTTTTTGTAGGAAAAGTTCCCCATATGTGACACACCACTGCACACTTTAATATTGTAATTTCTAGTATGGGAATTAAAAAATCTCCTTTTCTTGCATTCTGAAGAGACACAGTTTGGGATCTAGACATATGTTCTGCCTGTGGTCAGATGTTACCATTCAGATTTGATCCACTAAGAGAAAATCAAATGGAGACATCTAATCTACTGATCAGTTCAGTTCCGGTGTGAGCATTCTTTCTACACACAGATCCAGCCAGTCCAACTCAAGGCTTCTGTGTGCTTTGTTCAGAAGCTGTGGTCACATTTCTCAAACACGTTTTTGCTCATTTATTATAATTTCTTTAAAATAGATGATATACTCACATGGCCTAAAATTCAGGAAGTCTGAGACAGTGTACAGCCATCACTTAATTGTCCTCCCTAGAGGCAGTTGAGGCCGTCAGTCTCTTAACTGTCCTTCCAGGGATATTCTACACATGTAACCTACCACACATACGTGCACAAACACATATGGACACACAAATACATATGCACCCCCCTACACGTGGACACACACATGCATACACATGTGCACACACGGACACATGCACACCACCCCACATGCATGTGAACACATGTGTGTACACATATGTGAATATATGCATAGTAACAGTGCACACACAGGCACACCCACACGTGGACGACCCTCATGTGTGAACGTATATGCATGTGTACACATGGATACCCACCACACATGCACACGAACACATGCACACACATACACATGAGCATGCACGTGCCCACATGCGTGTGCACATGAACATGTGTACACATCTACATGCACATGTATGCACACACATACTTCGTGTCCCCCTCTATTCCATGATGGATAGCACCCCACACACTTTCCCATGCCTTGCTCTGGGATGTTTGGGGTCAGGACAGAAAGCCTGTCCTCATTCCCCTATTTGACTGCAGAGTGTCCCATGGATGGCAGGTCATGCTCTGCTTCACATGGTGAACTGATGGGGATGCCAAACAGCACACAGAAAAACCTGGTCTGTGTGACAAGATTGGCAAACAGATGCATATTCATGTGTTGGAAGATGCAACAACATATCGCTTTTTACAGTTCTCCCCTGTTGTACCTTCCATTAGCTGCCCACCTGCAGTCCCCATCAAGCTCAGCAGAGGGCTTCCATTTAAGCAACTGATGACTACAATAATGATGGGTTCAAAAATGATTTCTAAAACTCATTTTTAATTATGCAATCAACACATTCACTTTATAAATTTTAAATGTTACACATGTTGCTACAATTGCTCTACTTGAAACTTGTTGGGTCTGTACTCATTTCCCCCCCCCCGAGTGCCCTCCCACCTCAGTGGAAGTGACCACTTTAATGACTAGTCAGCTCATTAAAAAAATTAGAGCTGCTTGGATAATTGGTTTTGCACAATTAAACTGCTTGCATCTTCCCAGGTTAAAATAAGTTCTAATCAGTCCCTGGGAATAATTATTTCAATGGAAAGCCAATGAGATTTCCCCTTTCCTTTGTTTAAATCATAAATTAACACAATACTCACTCTGAAAAAAAGTCCCTTGTAAAAACAGCTTGGCATGCATAGGTGGCAAGTCCTTAAGTTTCTGTAGCTTTTGGAATCGGGAAGCAGTAAACCGAAAGTGCCATTTCAGACAGGTTTTTATTTTTCACTCTTTACTGGCATGACCACACAGGCGATCCACCTTCCTGTGCACATCTTGGTGAGATGAGCCCATGGGTTGGGGGTACCAATCTGTGCCCCCATCTGTGCCCCCATATGCAGGTGGGTTTGTGTCTGGGCACTGTATCTGGGTTAGATAGAGCTGTGCTGGCCTGACCTGCCCTGGACTGTGGATGCTCAGTGCCACCCCTGCCTCTTTGTCCCCTGCATGGTGGGTGCACATCCCCCTCAAGGCCTCTCTGCGGGGCTTGGGGAGCCTTGGTTTCATTTTCCCACCAAGTTAGGCCTGGTCTCGTGGCCCCAACCCTCTCACTTCAGGCTCTTTTCTGTGGTTTGTGAGGGTGGACAGAGTGCTGAGACACTCCCCCTCTTATACAACACAGGCAGTCATTGTTTTCTCCATAGTTAAGGTGTCAACTTTTTCTTTTAACTTGGAAATTTCATCAGCCTCCTAAGTCACATCGTGCCTTTAAGAGCTCAGCATGAGCTTACTGTCCAAGTCATGAGGCATCAGTTGCATGGCAGGTTCCTCATCTGTAAATCTAGTTGAACAACCATATCTCCCTTGTGGGGGGTGGGGGGTAGGATTGACCAGGTGTGCCCATTCTGGCTTCCCTGCCAGCCAGGAATTGAGCCATGTTAGGGTAGAGGCACAGCGACAGTCCCCCCCCTCCCCTCCCTGATATTATTCTGTAGTAGTTGATTATTTAAATGACATGCATGCATTATGTATAGAACCTGAAAAAAACAAACAGGTCCTTGTTTTGCAGAACAAAATACACAGATTAGCCAGCATTTGCTTGTGTGAGATCCGTGGTGGTGGTTGTGGGGGTGTTTGGAGATGCCTACTCTAAACTGTGCCTCTGCCCTCCCCAGCGGACAGCACCTTTGACAGTGGCCAGGGCTCCACAGTGTACTCGGACTCTCAGAGCAGCCAGCAGAGTGTGGTGCTCGGCTCCCTTGCAGACGCGGCGCCGACCACGGCCCAGTGTGTGTGCAGTCCCCCCATGAGTGAGGGGCCCATCCTGCCACACAGCCTGTCCTCAGTGGGGGCCTTCCAGCAGCCCACTGCCTCGGTGAGTCAGAGCCCCCCACCCATCCCCATGACCTCATCTGAGGACACTGGGGGCTGCCAAGTCTGTGAAGGGCCATCCAGGCTGTGTGCACAGTGGTCAACGTCAAAGTGGCCTGTGGTCAGTCCCCGACCACACTGCCTGGGGAGACATGCAGGAACAGGCCCATGGGAAAGCCCCGTCTTTTCTGGTAACTACAGAACTGTAGGCTGAGTAGCCTTTGATGTACCTGTAAAGATCTCCTAGATGAGAACAATACAGACCCCAGGGATGCCCAGAGTTTGGGAGGACATGATGGAGCTGGCCCCAGCCCTACCCTGTGGGGCACTGATAGAAACGGCGACCACATGCAGCCGCATGCATGGCACCCAGCGCTTCTGCCCTGGGCCTGAGACATGATTTCGGACTGTTCCAGAGATGCCAGAAGAGTGTCATTTGTAATAATGAAACCCGAGATTCAGCGTCACTGTCCAGCCTCCCTGAGGGAATGACCAGTAGCTCCCAGCACTTCTTCCAGGGGGGATCATGCAGCTGTTAGAGTTAGAGCTGTGAAGCAGGGTAGAGACATGGGGAACGTTTTCAGTGAGGACATTTGGAGAAGCACAAGCGACATAGCCTCAGGCTGTGCTCCTATGTGTGAAATAATTTGTAAGATATGAGCAAGATGGGTGGGGTCACATCAGGTATTTATTTTTTGATTTTGACTTTTTTATTAACACTAAAGAAAGCAAAACAGTCACTCACTTCACAGCCCCATGTGCTCTGCCACAGAGACGTTGCCTGTGAGCCCCAGGCAGTGGAGCAGGCTCCTCAGAGGGTGATGGAGATCCCACCCTGGGGCGGGCTGTCTTCATCCCTTCTCTAACAAGTGGCTTCTGCCTGATGCTTCCATTACAGCAGTTCTCATTGGTACACTTTCGCTGCCGTGACCTTTCCGGCCACCGCTGTCCTGCTGGCGCCCATGGGTATGGGCTCTCCACACTGCTGTGGCCTCTCTCACTTCCATCCGCACAGGGCTGGGCGGGTGGAAGGGCTCAGAAAGTCCTTGGAGAAAAGCAGCTGAAGCCGCTTGCTGCATCTGCCCTTCTGACCCAAGCCCCAGGACTCATTTGTGATTTGCATTTGCTGTTTTGTTCATTTCACAAAATGAAGTGAAATGCAATTTCAAATGGGAGAAAGAGCTTATTTAAGAAAAGGCTACTTACCGCCCTAGAGTGGTGGTTCTGAGCCTCAAGGAGCACCCCAGCCAGGGCTGGGCTGGAACATCCTGCTGGCTCTCATCCCTACTCAGCCCATGCTAGGGCTTCCCGTGGCCACAGGATGCACTCACTGCCTGGTTCTTGCTGGGCTGAGTCTGTCTCGTGTGTCCTCGGGGATGCCACTGGTCTCAACATCAGGGTGTGAGCCTGAGTGGTGAGGTGGACTCAGGGCCACAGCTCTTCCTCATGTCTCCTGCCAATTTATGCAAAGATACCTTAGACAGAAAGGGTGGGACCTGGAAGGGGTCCCAGGGGAGCGCTGAAAGCTCACACTGCAGTGCCTGCCTTTCCTGGGGTGGGTTGCCACGGTGATGTGCCCTTGAGACCCAGAGAAGGAGGAGGACAGATTGGGGGAGGCGGGGAGCAGGAGGCCTTCCACCTTGGGGCTGCCTGCCTTGCCTGAGCTGCCAGGCTGTGCATGGCTCCAGGAGCTGGTGGATGACACTTCAGCCCAGTTGGCTACAGGTAAGTCCAGAAGTGAGGCTCCATCCCAAGCACACCTGCCCTTTCCACTTCTTGCCACCTCATTCCACGCTGCTTTTCATAAAGCACGACAGTAGAGGATGAGGTGAGTGACGGCAGTTGTCAAGATCACTGTCACTCAGGTTATCCAGAGAACCTCAAGGGTGAGAACGCCCGCGGAGGTGGCAGGATCATGATCAGTCTCTATCTCTGCACGATAAGGCCTCCTAGATGGAGAACAAACCACAATACCATCATGACACCAAAAGAAATAACGAATTAGCAGCATTTCCTCAACGGCATCGCGCATCCAGGGCTCAGGTGTCTGACTCTTGTGGCCCGTGTGCACGCTGCCTGGCAGTGAGGGTGCAGTCCACCCGTGGCCGGTCTCTCTCCCCCAGTGGCCGAGTCGCTGGGGAGCCCAGCTCTGCCGAGTACCCACTGTGCAGGTTCGCTGCCCACGCCTGTACACCTGGTGTCCTCCCCAGTACGCCGTGGGCTGTTCGTTTTAATTTTGTCATATTCTGTCTGTGGATCATTTATGTGTGCGCACCTTACGCAGTCACAGCCACATGGATGACACGTTCCCCACTCCCTGTCCTAACAAGCCTTTCTTCATGGTTCTCTGAAGCCTTGGCAACCACCTTTTCTCACGGTTGCCTGATATTCCATGGGGTTGATGTACCAGAATGTTCCCTGGCTGGGAGCTGTGGTGTTGGCAGCTTTTCACTATTTTGAATGACGCCACAGGGGAGCGGACGTGGGCTGAGATGGGCGCCCTGTGTGGAAATGGGTCTGCTGGGGCCCAGAGCAGCTGCTGATGGCCGGCCCCATGCTCTCCACAGCCCGGCCTGTCAGTGGGCTCTGCCCCAGCCCCCACCCACCCTCCGCTCCTCCAGCAGCATTTCCCAGAGCCCACCATGAGCTTCGCCCCCATGCTGCCACCACCCAGTGCTCCGGTGCCCACGGGCCCAGGTCAGCCAGCACCCCCTGGACAGCAGGTGAGTGTGGAACCTCCTTACAGCTGCCGTCGGTGTGGCCATGTGTGCCCGGCCCTGCCAGTCCTTCTCGGCAGGTGGTCAGTTCTGCTTACCCCAGGGACCAGGTCTGTGAGTGCCTCCTACAGGCCCACGTCCTCTGCAGCTCCTCAGGCCCTGCAGTTTGAATGAGGGGTGGCGGGAGTCTCATGTGTGTGTGTGTGCGTGTGTGTGTGTGTGAGTGTGTGTGTGTGTGTGTGTGTGTGTGTGTGTGTGGTGTTCATGGGTCCACAGCTTCTAACACAGGGTCCTTCACAGAGAAGCCTCTGCTCACTAGAATGTTTCTGCACGATCTGGTGTGTCCCTGGCTCCAGGCTAGCTGGAGTTGGGTGGTCTGTGTGCAAGTGTGTAGGTGTGTGACTGTGTGTATGTGTGTTAGAGAGTGTGAATCTGTGCAAATGTGAGTATGCGTATGAGTGTGTGATTGTGACTGTGTGTGTGTATTATGTGTGAAGTGTCTGTTTTCTGTGTGAGGGTGCAGGGTGCCCTGTCTCTCAGCAGGTCAGTGGTCTAAGGGAGCCCCCTTCTCTCCTTGCAGCCTCCTCCTCTGACCCAGCCGACAACCCTGCAACAGGTCCTGGCTCCACAGACCCTGGGCCCCCTCCAGCCAGTGCCCCCCCACCTGCCTCCATATCTGGCTCCAACCCCCCAGGTGGTGGCCCCCACTCAGCTGAAGCCCCTCCAGATGCCACAGGCGCCTCTGCAGCCGCTCACTCAAGTCCCTGCGCAGGTAACTCCAGGCCCACAGCTGCTGTGGTTGGTGGCTGGTGGCTTGCCCAATGGTGGCTGTGCACCAGGGCACCTCAGGGGACTGTCTGTTTATGTGGCCTGGGAGGGGGCTGGGCAGGGCAGTGGTGGCTCAGCAGCATGGGTTGTGTGCACTGTCACACACACCTGTACTACTCTGTGGATGGCCACAGCAGGGGGGGCGTGTGTCCTCCTCCCTCCACCCACCATGGCAGAACTGGGCATGTGCCAGGGTGACAGCCTCCCTTGGTGGCTGGCTGGGCTGCCCTCCTGCCTTTAGCCTCACGCTCTCCCCTAACCTGGTGGGCTGTTATTGGTCCTTCCTGTCAGTCCACAATGACTCTAGGCTGTGAGTGGCAGCTGAGGTTCCTTGGAGGGCAGGCAGCCTGGTGTTGTCACTGGGTCCCCCCTCCCCACCTTCTGCCCGCAGCATTGTGCCCATCTGCCCTCAGCATCTGTCCCAGGTGTGTCCAGAATGGGGAACAGGTTTAGCCCAGGGTTGAGGACAGGAGTCACGATGTGGCCATGGAGCTGGCACTGAAAGCATTTTCCTGAGACAAACTGAAACGTGATGCTTTCAGTTTGTCTCAAGTGACTGCTCATCCCATGGAACTGCCCAAGACTGTGCCGAATGTGGCTCTGCAGAGGTTTTTTAGGCAGTTAGGTGCCACTGCTGACCAGAGAGAAGCCTGGCCACCTAGGCTGGACGTGAACAGCAGAAGCAACCTCTGTCTTCTTTCTGTGGGGACTTTGTCCATCGCTAGTGGTACCTGACCACACATAATATACCGGGCACCTTTGCCCAGGCCGATGGCAGCAATGATTGTAGATACTCCAGAGCTCCTCAGCGATGGGGATTTGGGTGGGCTGTCATCTCGGTGACAAGACCGGAAGTGTGCTTCTCTCTGAAGAAGGCTTGGAGCAAGCGAGCGCTCCTGCAATCCACACCCCCTGCCCCCCACCCCAATCAACTGCTGTTTAGGCTTTGTCCTAGACACTCAGGTGTCTAGTTAGATCATTATCTCACTTGTCAGTGGTCGTGGTATTTAGTTGCTTTTCAAACAAATGGAGGTCGAGGGTGCATTTTTGCTGCCCTGTAGTTGCACAGAGCTGCACATCGTGTGATGCTCGTGAGCTTGCACAAGTAAGGTGGTGTTTTCAGAGACAAGAGCTGCACCCACAAGGTCACCAGGAGGCACAGGCATCCCTGAGCAGATGCAGAGGAAGGTTTTGGGAGTTCCTGATGTTGGGAATCTAGACAGAATGAGGGTGTTGCCTCAGTCAGTAAAGGGGGCTCCAAGATACACTTTTCCTGAGAACGCTCTGAGGAATTAGGTTTCAATTTGAATTTATACAGGTTGGGTGATCAGACTCATGTGATTTCAGATGTTTGGGGCCTGTCTGGTGGCTCTGATGGTCCCTGCTATGGCCCCTCACGTCTGAGCTGCCCCTGGCTCCCTTGGATCCCCTGGTACAGCCCCTCGGGTGGGGTGGATGCAGGGAGGCCGCGCTGCACCGGTGCCGGGGTGGGGGTATGTCTAGCAGGTCCTCCCAGGCTGCAACTTTCCTTTTCTGTTTGAGGAGTTTCACATGCTCGGGGTTTCCATTTCAGATGGGTTTGTGTTTGGTGTTCCCTTAATAGCAATAACACAAAAGGATCTTGAGGCAAAATGCCACACTTCCCTCCCCTCATCCCACTGTCCTTGTGGTGCAGGTGCAATGGCGGGGACCCTTGGGGACCTCCCTGACCTCCCTGTGTCTCTTGCAGATGCCTCCGGTTCCTGTCGTACCCCCCATCACGCCCCTGGCAGGAATTGATGGCCTCCCGCCAGCCCTCTCTGACCTGCCAGCCGCAAACGTGCCCCCAGGGCCGCCTCCACAGTATTTCTCTCCGGCCGTGATCCTGCCCAGCCTCACTGCCCCTCTGCCAGCCACCTCGGGCCTGCCTCTGCCGGCAGTCAAGCTGCCCCACCCCACTGGGGCGCCTCTGGCCGTGCCCTGCCGTACCCTTGTGCCAAACGCACCGGCTGCCATCCCGCTGCTGGCTGTGGCCCCACCGGGTGTGGCCGCCCTGTCCCTCCACCCTGCAGTGGCCCCACTCCCGGCCCAGCCTGTGTACCCAGCGGCCTTCCCGCAGGTGGCGCCTGGCGACATCCCGTCCTCCCCCCACCATGCAGTGCAGACCCTGCGAGCCACCGCTCCACAGCTGGCACCACCTGCACTTCCCCAGCCCCTGCAGCCCAGCTTCCACCTTCCTGAGCAGGTTGCTCCAGCCGCCACCCCAGGGAGCCAGGTAATCTATCAGCGGGCAGGGGTCCACCCTTGCAGCCCCAGAGATGCCAGGAATCTTTAGCCCTTGTCCTCACGCTCCCTCCAATGGGCCTGTGCTCCCTGCTGGCACCTTAACCGAGCTGGGTGGCAGGTTGGGACCTGCAAGGAGGCAGCTTCGTCCCTTTGTTGTCCTGTCTAATGAAGAGACATGTTGAAGCCAGTGTGAGTATCTGCTACCCCCTCTCATTTCCTTTGGGAGTCATAGCTCAGAGGTTCCACTGTCCCTCCTTTTCCAAGGGTTAGCAGCTGCTGCTTGTGGCCAAGGGCCCCTGGCTGGGCCCAGCATCATGGCACCTGCCCTTACCCAGGTGGGCCCAGCAGCTGTGGTACGGCCTGCATCAGGGTCCTGGTGGATCTGGGGGCAGCTCCTCACAGGAAACTTGTCAGAGTGAGACGTGTGGACAGCCCCTATCTTAGCTGTGAGGGAAGGAGGCCGATAGAGGGGAGGGTCCTAAGGGCACAGGGAGGGGCTGCTGGTGAGCAGGTGGTTATGGGGGGATCAGAGTCCATGTCCTGGGGTTGGGTGGAGACCCCGTGAGGGCCTGCGGGGCTGCCTGTGGAGGGACACTTTGGCACATGGGGACATGTGCCGTGCTGCTGCTGATCAGCCTCCGGTGTGGCTGTGCAGACTTCACAGCACACTTGTGTTCTGGAGCTTCTGGGCTATTCCGCTCAAACTCCAACAAGGGAGGAGCCGGTGTGGGAACCTCCCACTTGGACCTCCCCCTCCTGGGCATTGTCCTACCTGGGTTCCCTTCCACCTGGGAGCCCCCCACCGGAAAGCCCTTCCACTTAGAAACCCCCCTCACCTGGCCCCACCCTGGCTCTGAGCTCCAACAGACTGTGGCACGTCCCTGCCTTTTGAGCCCCAGGCTCCTCCTCTGCAGAGTGGGGCTGAGGCAGACAGTGTGGACAGGAGCCTGGGGTGGAGCACCCCTGGGTGCCAGCTGCCCCACAGCTGCGTGCACCAAGTCCAGTGTGGAGTAACACCCCACATTCTGAGTATGCACAGATTCTCCTGGACATTATTTCCTGCTTTCCTATTTTCAGAGGGATTTATACTTGGAGAAAGAAGGGACAGTGTTGGCCATCAGGATGGCGTTGATTTAAAAAACGAGTAGGCATAAGTGCATCCCCTGGCTGGGTGAGCACTGTGGTCCCAGCAGTTTCAGTGGCAGCTCAGAGCCTGCTGGTGCCCGGGTTTGGCGGTTTCTGAGGAAAGCTGAGGGTGAGGCCAAGGACGGGGCAGAGGCCTGGCCAGTGTGTCCGTGTGGCTCAGGGCCCTGCCACCTGGCACTGGTTTTTCTGGGCTCTTCACAGTTAGTGGCAGGTCATGTGCAGCCAGTGGCTAGAGGGGTGCTGCCACCTGGGAGGCCACCACCAGGCTTGGTGGCTGTCCCTGCTTTCAGGCTTATGGGAGGTCTAGTTTAGTGATGGAGTGGGCCAGCTGCCCCATAGGCTTCCCTGAATGCAGCAGCTGGAGCATCTGTCCAGGAAAGAAACGTCCAGGCCGTGGCTTGGTCTCTGTGGCCCCACCATGGGTTGCTAACAGAGGGTCTCATGGCCCGGAGGCCCGAGTGAATGAGCTCTTTCCATTCCTGAGAGACAGAGGGGTCCCTCTAAATTTTCAGCCTCTCAGCCCCAAAGTGGGGAAAAGGATGGATTGTTGTCACTTTCAAACTGTGGGCCCTTCTTCCACACTTGCCTCACCTTCTACCCTGCAGAGCTTTCAGAAAGAGACAAGAACAGCGGGGAGCCAAGCCTAAGCTCCAGGTCACACTACAGGAGGTGGCAGGTGTGGGTGAGCGCTCAGGGTGTGCCTGGGATCAGGAACAGGCCACTGTACACACCCTGAGCTGCCCAGGACACAAGATAGGGGGCAGGACCTCACCGGTGCTGAGGCAGGCAGCTGGGCCCCGGTGTGATGCTACATGTATATCTCCTGGTGACTTGTCACCTGGGCTTAGCTGGAAGTTCATAACTGAAGTCCAGTTCTACGTATTTCTACACAAATAGATTTTTTTTTTCCTTTTTGTCTTTTTTACTGACCGGTAACGGGATCGCAACCCTCGGTGTCGCGCCCGTACTGGGGACGGCAACGGGATCACAACCCTCGGTGTCGCGCCTGCACCGCGCTCAGCCAGTGAGCGGGAACCGGTCTCCACATGGGATCCGAACCCTCGGCGGGAGCACCGCTGAGCTCCCAAGCGGCGCACTCTCCAGTGCGCCACCCGGACCGGCCCCACAAATAGATTTTTATGGAAAGGCGATAAGAGAATGCCCTTTCTTCTTGTTTCTGCTAAATCCACCTGCTAAATGTGCTCTGAGACAAGAACTCACCCTGGGGGGAGTGTATGGATTAGAGAGGGATGTCCTGGTTGCCTCCGTGGCCCATGCCCTGTGTGTCACTGACACACCTGGGCATGGCCCCCTGGCCCTCTGTGTGTATGCAATGCCCAGCACCCAACTTGCATCCCTGTTTCCTATGCCCACAGGTCCTGCTTGGCCACCCACCTCACTATGCTGTTGATGTCACCGCCCAGCTCCCCGCCGTGCCCACACCACCCGCTGCTGTCCTCTCCCCACCTCTGCCAGACATACTGCCGCCTGCTGTCCCCGAGCTCCCACCTCAGTTCCCCAGCTCTCTGGCCCCCGTGGTGGCAGCACCTGCTCAGAGTGTGCCCACCCAGGCCACCACTCTCCTGCCGCCAGCAAACCTGCCGATACCCAGTGGGCCCATGATTGCTGGCCCCTGCCCAGCCGTCCAGCTGATGGTGGAGCCGGCCCCAGAGGTGTGTTCTTTCACCTGGCCTGATGTTGCAGTCTCCTGGGGTGTGTGCTGTGACCTTGGGTCTTTGCTCTAGAGGGCAGGACGCTTGGCCCTGGGACAGCCATGCGGGTCCAGTTCTCATCTGTCTCCTAGATTTCACACTTTCTGAAAACCCACAGCAAGATGGAGGACATGATTGTTATAAATAGGTTTGGAGAAGGCTTTCCCTTGGAGGGGACGCAGAGGCCTGTGAAAAGCACTTGTGGAACAAGTGTGTCCTCTCTGAGGGATGATCAAAGTGGGTAGACAGTTTTGGAAAGGAGGCAACCTGCAGCTTTTAGAAATCTGCTTGCCTGTAAGCATTTCAACAAGATAAAAGCCTCCATGTCCGCTTCCCTGCTGCAGTCATAAGAGAGCGGTTGGGTGGCTGGGCTAGGGAGGCAGGAGCCAGCGTGACCGTTTTCTTTTCTCCGGGTTTGTATTTCAGGAGCAGGCCTTGCAGGACAAGCCGCCCGGCCTCCCGCAGAGCTCTGAGAGGTACTGTGGCCCAGCCTCACCTTGGGGGATGGGCATAGGGGACGCAGGCCCAGACGCCGGCTCAGCTCAGCCCCTGCGGCTGCTCCACACAGATCCCGTGTCGGTTTGCCCTTATGCCACTGGGGGTTTTCACAAAAGTCACCCTTTTTCAAACCTGACCTTGCAGAGCCTCAGGGATGTCCTCTTAGGTCTTGTCAGCTCTTGTTGAAATCTGGGTGTGAGAGGCTCCAGGCTGTGCTCTGGGTCCGTGTTCTAGGTCCTGGCACTCGTCTGTGGTGCCGAGGATGTTCCAGAAGGGAGAGGCCATGGTGGACACAGTCAGCAGTGCCCAGAGGCTGGGTGTCAGGAAGGTGACTGCCTGTGGGCAGGGCAGAGTCCAGCCCAGACTTTGGGTCTCCTGGCCATCTTGGCTGCTGTGGGCACCTGTCATGTTCTGGGGAGGGAATGGAATCTTTACCAGGGATGGTCATAGGAAATGACTGTCTGTCCCACCCTCTCTGGGCACCGGACAGTGCATGTGCTTGGAGCTTTGCAGACTTTGCTGTGGTCCTCATGACAGCCCCATGTGCTGGTGTGTTCCTGTTACTGTTTCACAGATGGGGAAACTGAGGCACAGGGGCCTGATTCTCAGATCAGGGGGCTGAGAGCCAATGACTGGGAAGCCAGGACGGGTGCTATAGAATGGAGAGGGTGTGATCATGCGGTGAGCTCGAGGTCCCCTCGACCGGCTGCTACCTGCACAGGTCATGGCTTCAGGCCCTGGGGGTTTTAAAGCCTCCGGGCTGTTTTCTACAGAAGCTGAGCTGCCGGACTGCAGCCGACTGGCTGGTCGTCTGTGGGTGCCATTCACCTTCTTGGTTTTCCTCAGTTACGGAGGTTCTGATGTCCCTTCTGGAAAAGAGCTGAGTGACAGCTGTGAAGGTGGCTTTGGCGGGGGCAGGCTGGAGGGCAGGGCCACCCGGAAGCACCACCGCAGGTCCACGCGTGCCCGCTCCCGGCAGGAGAGGGCCAGCCGGCCCCGACTGACCATCCTAAACGTGAGCAGCCAGTTGCAGGAGGCGTGCAGGCATGGGAGGGGCAGGGTGGTGCACACGGGTGTGGCATCCCCTGTAGTCTGACCGTCTCAGTCTCCCCACCATAGGTGTGCAACACAGGTGACAAGATGGTGGAGTGCCAGCTGGAGACACACAACCACAAGATGGTGACCTTCAAGTTCGACTTGGATGGGGACGCGCCGGATGAGATTGCCACGTACATGGTGAGGCTTCTAGGTGGTGAGGCCATCTCCTCGTGTTCCTTGGGTGTGGGGGGGGTGAGCAGCCTGGCCCTTCGTGGGGCGTCGGTTGGCCCAGGGGTCCAGGCTTGGTGCCTGGGGGTCTTCTGTAGGGGTTGCTGACCTCCTGCACCTTGGGCTCTGTCGGCTTCTCCCCACACTTGGCGGAGACCCCTCAGGTTTGAGAGTGCAGCCTGCAGAATGTGTTCATAACTGCCCAAGATGGTGTTCCCTCAGTGGTCCTGGAGGCCCCAAGCCTGTCCCTCAGAATAAAAAAGGAGCTCTGTGGGCTGGTAACTTGAGCAAGCCAAGGGAAGCGGCATCCTCAGAGTGCAATGTCCTTGGTCCCTGCTTAGAGATACCTGCAACCTCCCCAGCTGGGGCTCAGGATCTGAGCCCTGCCCAGCGTTCCCCATGTCCCCAGCTCTGCCTGCACTTCTATCCAGAGCTGCCCTCCCTGCCCACGTCAGCACGTCAAGCCCATGAGTGCCTGGTTGTTCACGGCCATCTCTTGGTCCCTCACCTGTGCTCCCCAGGGATCCTACTGTGTCCCCAGCACCCGCTCCCAGCCTAGGAGCTGGGGTGTCTTTTGCTGGCAGAAACTGTCCTGCTGAGCACACACAAAGAATCATGAGAAAGAGAAACCTAGTGGCCCATCTACTACCCCTCACAGGACCGTGCTCCTTCTCAGACACTGTGCGTCACGGGTGAAGGTTAGGAAGCCGCTGGCCAGGCCTGCTGCCCCTCGCCCCAGACGGCCAGAGTACAGGGATGTAGGGCTGGCACGACTAGGAAATGGATTATTAAATTTAATTTAATTCAATGATGTAAGTTGCCCCACGTGTCTAGTGGCAGCCGCCAGCGCCTCCAGCCACCCCTGCCACAGCTTCATTAAGTTCTGATGCGGCCTTCACAGGGGCGGCCCCTGAGTTTCTGCTCCTTGGGAAGGTCCATGCTTAGTGTTTGCTCTGCAGAGATACCTTGGACAAGCCCTTCCTAGGGCCCAGGCCTGGGCACAGTCCTCCACAGTGTTAAGGAAGAAATCATTCTGACACTGGCTAAAACAGTCAGGAAGCCTTTTTATTCAGGACTGTTGTGATGGAGAAAGAGAATGAGCCCAACTCTGATTGCAGCAGAGGCAGCTGGGGACTGATAGCCGAGGAGCAGGGTGCGGGTGGGTCGGGGAATGGAAACGACTAGTGGGAGACATTGGGGAATGGCCTTGCCGAGGGCATGTCAAGGCTTGGACATCAGAGGTGGAGGCGAGGAGTTTGGTTAGAGTTGGAGGGTGGGGATTCTGCTGAAGCGACTTGGCAGGATTCTTGCTAGTGACAGGCTAGCAGAGCATCAGAGGCGCCTGGCCACAGTCTGGTCTTCGTTGGTGGCGAGCGGCAAGTTCCTCCGCGCCGTGTAAACACCAGCTCCTCACCCGACCACTGAAACCGTAAAACGTCTCCTCACTCAACTCGCCTGGCCACAGTCTGGTCTTCGTTGGTGGCGAGCGGCAAGTTCCTCCGTGCCGTGTAAACACCAGCTCCTCACCCGACCACTGAAACCGTAAAACGTCTCCTCACTCAACTTACTGTGTTTTTACCACGTATCTTCTTATGTACATACGTGTCCATGTACGATGAAGAATCAAGTGAGCACCTGTGGAGCTGTCACAGCCTCTGGCTGTCCCTCTGCCAGCTGATGCCGTCCCGGTGGCTTCCCCTCCTACCTGCCCTGGCACAGCGACTGTACTGTTGTGTGGTCGCTGTTTCTCTGTTTTTAATCATTGGCTTTTGTGTCTGGGTGTGTCTTTGGGTGCAGGCGCACACGCACGTTCACAGGCCCCTACAGTCAGTGATGTGGTTCTTACTTAGTTGTGAGCTTTGTAGAGATGGGATCTTCTCACACTTGTGTTTTCACTCAGCGTCTGATTCTCCTCTCATTTTATTGCTTGTTTTTTTGTCTCATGGACTTCATAAAGGGTTTGAATTGGGCCTCTTAAAACCAAGTCATCTAAAATACCCTTATAAAGTAAGCGCAAAATACACGATTTTGTCCATAAAAACGGCCCTCCGCACGAGGCCTCTGCTGGTTGCCCACTGTTCCTGTTCCTGTTCCTTTCCCGGGGACAGAAGGGCTTTGTGGACTCCAGATGAAGGGTGGCTGCTTGGCTAGCGGAATGGCCGCTATTCAGACAGGCTCCTCCCCTCTTGGACCGTCGTCACCTCAAGTGGGGTGCTGTTCCCTAAGTGTTTCATCAGCAGGAGAGGTTTGGCAGGGCCTTAGGTTTACTCTCTGACAAAGACCCCCTTGCCGACTCCTGTAGTGAAGGTAGAACTGGAGAAGTTTGGATCTAATTAGCATTGATTCCAGGTTATACCTGGACCCTGTATTTTTAGGTTTTTCTCTTTTTCAGTTAATTTCAATGTACTTAGAAACACACACTTAACAGGAGAACTATTTTCCAGTTACTAAGGGGTTCAGTTTAGTGAAAGTTTCACAGAACTGGAGCATTGCTTACATTCCTGCACACAGCAACCCCATATTACAGCTGGACACTGGCTGTGGCCACATCGTACTCCCCTTGGACCGTGTCACAGTCACACGCTACATTAAATTTGGAGGGGAATTATGGAACGCAGCATTGGCCAGCTTCTTGTCTGGGGGGCACAGGTAGTGCTCCTGAGCGGGGAGGTGGTCAAGGGAGCTCCGCTCTGTAGCCAGCTTTCATAGGGGGCAGATGGACCTATCCCAGGAGGGATCTGGGAAGAGATCCCCCAGGCAGGCCCCAGGCATCTTGGCGACCACAGAGCTGTGGATGGGAGAAAGGGGACAGGGACTGGACCCACTGGGTGAGGAGACAGGCCAGCCTCTTTCCCTGGAGCACATTTGTAGGGTGTTCTGAGATGTGCAGTGTCTTATCTGCCTGAGTTGCCAGTGATGTAGTTGGAGCAGGGTGTGAGCAGGGAGGCCACCTGCCCACCATGACAGTCCCTGGCCCAGAGGCTGTGCAATGTCCAGGCTGCATGTGGCACCTGCCGGCTGCCCTCCCTTAGCCAGGCAGAGGCCTGGGCTGTCCACGCCACGTCCATGTTCTGGGCTGGGGGCAGAAGGCACTCATCACTGGGTATGTGAGCAGTGTGGCCGTGGATACAGTGGGTGCAGGATGAAGGATGCTTGGCCAGGCATGCTTGCCTTTCTCGGCCCTGGTCTATCAGGAGGACGACAGCCAGCATAAGTGGATGTCATGCTCTGGGGGGATGACCACCTGCCCGGACATCCATGGTTCGAGGTGCAGATTATCAGATGGTGGCACAGGTGATGTTTCAGAATCAGGACGCAGAGCAAGGCCAGGACCTGGACATTTGCCCCATGTGGCCTCTCCCAAGGCCAAACATCTGGCCGTCTGGTCAGGCGTGGCTGACTTTGGAGACACTTTCTGTGGACTTAGTTCTGAGAAGAGGCACATGACCAAGGGAGTGGAATCTGTTGAGGATGACCCCGTGGGAAGGCCAGTCTCAAGAAGTGCTGGTGAAAAACAGGTGTGGGCTCAGGCACGGAGCCTCCAGCTTGAGACTGGCGGTCCCCCAACCAGAGAGCTTCGGGGGCCAGACTCCCCAGGGCCCTGCTGAGGAAGCAGGAGCTGCTCACTGGATACTGGCCACACCTGTGTGCCTGGGCCACGGCTGAAGGTCAGAGGCTGAGGCTGGGGGAGCCGGGGGTGCCGACACCAAGAAGTGGCACATGGATGTTTCACCATATCTTTGCCATCTCTGCAGAAGCTTTCTGCACCACCCCCCGCCCTCCACTACAGCCTTCACATCAAACCTGGCTTCCTTGTCTCTCATGACCCCCGTGGATGCCCGTGCCCAAGTCCTTGCCCCTCTCGATCCTATGCACCCACCTGCCTTGTGGATGGCTGGACCGGCCCCAGGCCATTGACCTCTGGGGGGTCAGGAGTCTTGCTTCTCAAGCTGCAGTGCTCTTGTCCTGTCTCTGGGGTCATCCTCTTCCCTTGCTGTTCAGCCACCAGTGTGGGGACTTTGGCCCTTTGCTATGTCTTCGCTGGGGCCTGGTACAGGTTAGGAGTCATAGGTCAGGAGTCTTGCTTCTCAAGCTGCAGTGCTCTTGTCCTGTCTCTGGGGTCATCCTCTTCCCTTGCTGTTCAGCCACCAATGTGGGGACTTTGGCCCTTTGCTATGTCTTCGCTGGGGCCTGGTACAGGTTAGGAGTCATAGATCCCCCATAAGGACCCCACACAGCCGTGGCACTGCAGCGGTCCTCAGCAGCAGAGCTGTGTCCTGTTGTAGGTGGAGCATGACTTCATCCTGCAGGCTGAGCGGGAGACGTTCATTGAACAGATGAAGGATGTCATGGACAAAGCAGAGGACATGCTCAGTGAGGACACGGACGTGGACCGTGGCTCTGACCCAGGGGCCAGCCCACCACACCTTGGCACTTGTGGCCTGGGCACCAGGGAGGTGAGTGTGTAAAGTCCCGAGTGTGCAGTGACCAGAGTGGTGGTGGTGGGAAGGTGGACGCCTCAGTCCCCTGAGAAGCTCTGGAGGCTGTTCTCGCAGTGCGGCTCTGCTGATTTCTGACCCCTTTACCCCATTCAGGAAAGTGGACAATCCCAAGCCAATGCCCTTGTGTATCAGCAGAACGGTAAGTTTGCCCTCCTGTAATTCCCCCTCTGTTGTCCAGCAGGTATCTGATAAAAGCCCCCACTGTTGTTGGGGTTCGGCCATCACATTGGGGATTGCAAGAGCATGTGGTGACAGGGGTCCCTGTCTGGATCAGCCTCTCTGTCTGAGGAGCCATCACCCGCTGGCCCACTGACTGGCATCTCCACAGTCATGGGTGGTGCTGTGGGCATCCCAGGGACTAAACCCGAACGGGTGACACTGCTGAGTCTTGGGCTGCCAGGGAGGTGCCCATGGCCAGCTGCCCACTCCTCACCCCTCTAGTGTGAGAAGAGCAGGTAGAAGCCCCTCACCAAGTCCATGGAGAGAAGCTGCTTAAGATTATGGCTGGGAAATTGGGCCCTCTGCCCATGCCCTTCCTGGCAAAGGTCCTGTAGGTGCAAAGGAGTTCCCTTGAGCCCCCTCTAGCAGGTCTGGCGCAGGTATGGGGGTCACCGGCATAGAGGGAAACTCACTCTCAGCACGCTGTTTCTGTTGTGCCCTGTAGTCCTGCACACTGGGAAGAGGTGGTTTATCATCTGTCCAGTGGCTGAGCACCCGGCAACTGAGGCCCCTGAGTCTTCACCCCCACTTCCTCCAGCCTCCCTGCAGCAAGAAACCAACCAAGGTATGAGCAGCCAGAGCGCATGAGAGCCCCTCCCCAGCTTCTCGCGGCCTTATCCTGTGCATCGCCCTGCTGGTGTGTGCTGGGGGCCTGGCGTGTGTGAGGGGCTCATTCTGCGGTATCTCCCCAAAGCTCAGAGCAGCCTATGGGCTGATTCCTGTACCTGTTTTCCACCAAATCAGTCAAGTCAAGGCAGCATCCAGACTTATGCCTGCCCTGTTACCTGACCACGCAGGTGACACGCACAGCGGCTGAGCGCCCTGTGGCCCTTCCTCACCTGGTGACTCTTCACACCCATCCCTTCCCTCTGTGCAATTCACCTGTGGCAGACACAGGTTTCTGGTCCTGCTTTGCTGGGGGGTAGGGAGGGAAAGTCCCTTTCAGCACTGAGACTGATTTTAAGTTGTCTACACGGACGGCGATCACTGTATTACTGATCTGCACCTACCCATACAGATGCCAACAACTTGCCCCTTGTGCAGTGGGTTAAATTTTGATTTTATGGCCCTTTGGGAGGCTGAAAATAGTCACTTGAACAAACTTTAAGGTTTAATTCCCTATTAGTTGGCAGGAAAAAGTTGCTGGTTATATAACTTGACCTAACACGATATGTTCATGAAGAATATCTGTAAATCAGTTTTAATTTTGTATCATGTGCTTCCAATGACTTCTGTTATCTTTTGGAGGTTTGTTCCATGGGGAAAAGGTCAGCCTAATAATAAAAATCCCAGTGAAACCACAAACTGAGACACGGTGAGCTCTGATAAGGGCCTGGGCCCAACCTGGACTCAAAAATCAGGGAGAAGCAGCTTTACCTGCAAGGCTCAATTTTAAAATAAGAATATGTTCATGTATTGATTCTGGATTTGAATATGCGTACACCCAGTTATAAGAAAAACCCTCATAAAAATAAAGGTAATTTGTATTATTATGATGTAGGAGTTAAGGGGACATGTAATAGTTAAAAGAATGGATTTTAAACACTTGTTCCTTCATCTACACACTGAGTGATCTCAGGAAGCCTTTTAGAGCCAGTTTCTTTATGTATAAAAAATGGAGAAGTTGGTGGCAGATTCGTTAATTTAAATTAATCATCCACGGAAGATAACAAAAAATGTTGGACAAATTATAAAAATATGCTGCTTGAAGGCATTTGGAATCTGAACATAGTGGAGAATTATACACCAGGGTCCAGAGGAGGATGGAAACCCAGGGACGAGAGTCCAGTTTTGGCCTTTTTCCCCCTGGGGGCATTTTCCATTCCTTCAGGGGTGGCTGGGAGGCTGTGTGCTGCTTCAGTAGCTTCACTGGGCTAGAGAAAAGGACCCCAAGGGTGGCTCTGCTGAAGCGCTGTACCAGAGAAGGAGGGATCACCTGAAAGGAGACAGGCATGCAGAGGGGAGTTCCCCTCAGGGCATCTCATCCCTCAGTAGGGCGATCTTGGAGTGCCTGTGCTCAGCAGGAGCACGCAAATCCTTTCTGCAGGAAGGAATATTGTACTGAGCGTCACATGACTTGTATAATTTTGTGAATACAATATCTGGCACATAATACAAAATAACTAGGCAGTGAGGTTCTGGGTAAGGTGGAGTAAGCATGCACACCAGCTTTTCTCTCCACCAAACCTAACTGTGAATCCTGGACAGATGCAGGACACAGCTATCTGAGTACTTGGGAAAATATTAGTGGAAAGAGTGGGGAAGACCAGAATGCAAAGTGTTACTGAGCCAGTGGTGGGTTTGGCACATTTTACTCTAGTATCTCCTGACCTCAACTCAGTGCAGCCTGAGGATCAGAAGTGAGTGCCATGGTGCAGATAGGGAAAGCTTCAGGAGAGACCTTTCAGTTACAAGACCCAGAGCAGAAAAGGGAGCTCCTAAAGCTTGGGGTGGGGGAGCCCCTCCCCATTTTTTTTTCTTTTTTCCCCCTTCTCCTGTACCAGCCCCAGGATGATTCTGTCAGGCAGCAGCAGGTCACAGGAGCCTACAGAAGCTAAAACCATGGGAGGGGAGAACCTTCCTTTCTCTTGAGGGGAGCACAGAATTATTGGTTTTTCTTCTTTCTATCCTCCTGCCACCTGGCCCTGCCTGGCATAGTCATGGAACTGAGTGGTTTCTGGCCAGAGTGTAGGAAAGGAGAGTCCCTGGGCACCAGAAAGTATCAGGGAGAAAACAGAAGGGGAGGAGCTTAGGAGAGCAATCCCATAAAGTTATTTATGAACTCCTGGACTTGTCCTCAACCTGGGCATGCATGGATCTGGTCCTAATTAGCATATAAAAAATTTTGGGAACTGAGCTAATGGATAGACCCCACCCAGGTTCCAGATTGGCCCCTAAATGACACACATTTGTTTGAGATCAGATTAGTACTGCAAAAGCATTGAAAACTGAACTAATGTGTAACTAGTCCGTAGAAGGCAGGTTGCAACTTGCAGTCTGAACCTTATCCAGGTCGATTGTCTGCTAAAGCAAAAATATCAATATTTGCTGTAGGATTTAAATAAGACTCAGGATTTCATAATGTTCAAACTGTTCAGAATAGAATCCAAAATTATTCGGTAAATGAAAATGTCAACTTGTGTGGAAAAAGACAGCCAACATGTGCCAATGACAAGATGACAGATATTTGAATGATCTGACAGAAACCTTAAAGCAGCTATTGTAAATATGCCTGAACAAGCAATCACATTCTTGAAATAAATGTTGAAGTTGAAAGTATCAAAGAAATAGAGGATATGAAGAAGAAACAAATGGACTAGATACTAAAATTCCTGAAATCGTCCAACTAGAAAATAGGAAAAAAGACAAAAAAAAAATGAACAGAGCTTTAAGGACCAGTGGAACAAAAAAAATCTAACAGTTGTATCGTTAGAGTTCCAGAAGGAGAGTCGAAAAAGTACAGTGCAGAAATGATATTTGAAGAAATGATGCTGGTACCTGGTTGATCCTGCCAGTAAAAAAAAAAAAAAAAAGAAAAAGAAGAAAAGAAAGAATGCTGGAAACTTTCTTGGTGAAAGATATAAATCTACAGATTCAAGAAACTAAGAGGACTCCAAACAGGTTAAACCTGAAGAAGACCATGCCTGGACACATCATAATCAATTTGCCAAGAGGTTGAAGACAAAGAAAAGGTTGTTAAAGCAGCCAGAAAAAATGATGCATTACCTAGAGAGGAACAGTGATTCACATGACTGCAGATTTATCACAAGAAAGCAAGGTGACCAGAAGGAAGCAGCACAGCATTTTAAAAGTGTTGAAATAAAAGAACAGTCAACCTAGAATTCTGTTTTTAAGGAAAATATAGTCCAGGAATGAAATTAAATTAATGCCATTCTCAAATAAAGAAAACTAAGAGAATTCATAGCCAGTACACCTGCTCTGAAAAAACTGCTGCATATCCTTTGTCTAGAAGGGAAATGATACCAGAAGGTAACTTGGAGTCAGGGCTGAAGGAAGAGCAACAGATGTGGTGAGTATTTGGGCAAATATAATAGAGACTGTTCTTCTCTTCTTAAGTTCTTTAAAACATGTCTGACAATTGAAATTTAAAAATTACAGCATTGTCCAATGAGGCTTTCAATGTATGTAGATGTAATATGTAACACAACTGTGATATGAGGGGTAATGTCATAATGCTCCTACATTCCAGTTGAAGCGTTACAACACTGACTCCAACATTCCAGTTGAAGCGTTACAACACTGACTCCAAGTAGACTATGAAAAGTAAAGTGTGTTGTTTGGAATTCCTAGAGCAACCCTAAAAGAATTGTACAAAGAGGTATAGTCAAAATCATAATAAGTAAATTAAAATGAACTAAAAAAAATTTAACCCAAAAGAAGGCAAGAAAGGAGAAACATAGGATCAAATTTAAAAAAAAAAAAAAGAAAAGGAGAAAAAAAAAAAAACAAATAAAAAAGCTGAGGGAAAACAAAACAAAACAGAAAGCAGACAATAAAATGGTAGACCTTAATCTAAACACCAATATGTAAAGGTAAATGGTCTTAACACATTGTAGTGGATTGAGTTATGTCCCGCCAAAACTCACTGAAGCTTGAATTGTGCCTCCCAAGTTTTATGTATTAGAAACGTAGCCTCCACTGTGACTGTTAAGAGGGTGGGAAATCCTATTATGGTAATGGAAATATGGAGCCTTGAAGAGGTGATTGGATTGTAGGACTGTGCAGTAGTGAATGGATTAAAAATGGTTAGGGGCCTGGTTCTGAGGGATTTAAAAGAAAAGGAGAGTCTGTCTTTCTCTCTCTGCTTCCACCATCTTGCAATGTGAGACCCCTGGGTCACTGTCACCACCACCAGATGGACTTTGGACTTCCCAGCCTCAGAAACTGTAAGCAATAAATGTCGTTTTTCTTTATAAATCACCCAGTTTCAGGTATTTTGTTATAAGCAACAGAAACAGACTAGTGCACACATCAATTAAAAGATACAGATTATGAGAATGGTTTAAAAAAAATACACAACTAGAACTTGACCTAAGTATATGTTGTTTAGTAGAAACTTTAAATATAATGACATGGGTAGCTTAAAAGAAAAGGATGGTAAAAGACTATGCAAACACAAATCAGGAACACTGGAGTGGCTACTTTTATTTCAGACAAAACAGACTTCAGAGCAAAGAAAAATACTAGGATTAAAAAGAGACATTACAGGGCCGGCCCGGTGGCGCACTGGAGAGTGCACCGCTTGGGAGCGCAGCGGTGCTCCCACCGAGGGTTTGGATCCCATGTGGAGACCGGTTCCCGCTCACTGGCTGAGCGTGGGGCGGGTGAAACACCGAGAGTTGCGATCCCGTTGCCGGTCCCCGGTACGGGCGTGACACCGAGGGTTGCGATCCCGTCACCAGTTAGTAAAAAAGACAAAAAGGAAAAAAAAAAAAGAGAGACATTACATATTCATAAAAGGGTTAGTTCGTTAAAAAGACATAACAGTGCTAAATGTGTATGCTTCTAAGAATAGAGCTTCAAAACTAACAACTGAAAGCAGAA